CATAGATTTATACTACCTCGAGATCCAGATCTAAAATCCTGGCTTAATTCCCAGAATATAACAGAATGTGGGAAAACTAGGAAATGTGTTTAGCTATGATGAAAAAGAAAATAAAAAAAAGATTAATTCCTTAGCCTGCATCTGGTGATTTCACTATCAGTAAATTAATCACATTCATGGAAACACTATGTTGTTTATTCATAATTTTTCCAAGTAATTTTCTAGCCCATGTCATCTCATAATACCAGAATATTTTATCTAGGGAAACTCTCAGGTTTCTGGAAATTACAACATTTAAAGGCTCATGTATTCCGAACGCTATAGTGTTCTGCTAACTATTTAGGAGTCCGCCCTCTCCCCCTGTGAGTATTAAAAAACAAGACTTACTTACCTTTTAGCCCTTGATGCATCAGTCTCCATGCTGCAGTCCTACCTTCTTGGCTGAGATCATCAATATTGATGATCTTAGCCAATCCAATACTTCCTTATTGTGAGTATAGATGTGTGGCAAATCATGGCACCTCTCAGCATCTACTCATATATGTATATATACATTTAGTCAAATTACTTCATAATTCCTTTCAGACAATGCAAAGCCAGGGAAACCATTGCAAATGATGAGGAGGTATAGAAATGTTTCATTTCTCCTCTTCTCGATTTGCTCTCTTTATGCTGACTGCCATATGCAAAGGGCAGAGGTTATAAGATGGCGGCATCCAGTTGCAGGATAAGAGGTGTGGATTACTACTTTTTTTAATCACTCCTCACATATACTAAATGGAGGGGTAAGCAAACTCAATATTAAAAATCTGTTCAAACATTTTATGAAGTGTTCATGGTTGACAAAACATAATGCTTGAGGCATAAGTATAGAATGTACATAAGACATAAAGCATGTGTACAGCAAGATGAGTCCTGCATCACTGCTAAATGGTTTTCTCACTGTTTAGCAGAGATGCTCAGTCCCTGACAGCATACAGCCCAGCCCCCAATAACAATGTGGCAGAGGTGGAGCTATGCTCTACCTCGCGCCATATCAATTTATACTAGGGATTGGGGCATTGATTGATTTCTCAGCCCTGTCACGGGTATGGCATGTTAAATAAAGGGGAGCATGACTCCCAGGGGTGTCTTTCCGCATGGGCACGCTGGGCAGTTGCCCGGAGGCCCTACAAGCATGGGGACCCCACCACAATGTCCATTTGCCCAGGCTGACAGGGTAGATCATTTTGATCTCCCCTGCTGGCCCATGGAGAGCCAGCCCTGTTTTCTTCCCCTGGACCCATTTTTAGAGGAAAGTGAGGGCAGGAGGGACCTGGAGGCAGGGGGTGGGACCTTGGAGAAAGAGCACTCCCCGCACTAGAAGGCCGTGTGGAACTTTGCCATGCGTTGCCATGGCAATGCTCCACACAGCATTCTGCGCGCTGGAGGACAGGAGACAGCCTGCAGCCAGAGGATAGCAGTCTGCACAGAACTCACAGAACTGGACCACCAGACCTGGCTGTGTCGCCCCCTCCTTCTGTGTGTGTGTGTATTCAGCAGCCTGTGTGTATTCAGCAGTCTGTGTGTTTCAGTGTGTTTATTCAGCGGATTGTATGTATGTATTCAGCAGTCTGTTTGTGTGTACTCAGCAGTCTATCTGTACTCGACAGTCTGTCTGTGTGTAGTCAGCAGTCGGTGCGTGCGTGTATTCGGCAGTAGGTATGTGTGTGTATTCAGCGGTCGGTGTGTATGTATGTATTGCATTTGTTGAAGGTACCAATAAATATAAGCTTAATTTTATTGATAATTTACATTTTTTTTATCCTGTGAGTTTTTGTGTAGACAGGGCTCCAGTGCACGGCTTTGCCCAGGGGCCCATAATCCTGTTAAGATGGCACTGATGACTCCCCATCATTCTGTCATTGGGGGAGGAAAGCATCTCTACTAAATGGCGAGTAGACTGCTTAGCAGTGATGCAGGACGCGGCATCCATGGAATCCAGGAACCATAACCAAGTGGTTATGGTTTAAGTAGTTATGGCGGCAACAGTGTCTCTTTAACAATTGTTCAGAAAGTAATTTTTTATAGGTTTAGTATATATTTTTCACACCCTATGTGAAATACTTTTGGCCATGTTGTGATTAGTTTCAATGGGTATCTATACCCTGAGGAGAGAGACTTTGAATTATAGACTTTATTTATGAAGGTATAACAATAGAGGATCTTGGGTAAAATTTAACAATTCTGTAGAAATATATTTATTTTATTTTATATATTCTTTTTTTTTTTTAAATTTATATTTCAATGAGATGATAGCACATTACAAACTGTAAATAGCACCAGGATGCAGAACTGGCATATATATATGCGCTCTATAAATATCATAATAATAATATATAAAAGCATTTTGTTTTGTAAAATGAGAAGTAGCATATCGTTAAGCTAAGTCGGAGAGAGTAAACTTGCCAAAGAGATACAGAGCTAGGCATGCAGTAGTTGCACTATATGGCAAACTGGCAGAGTAACAAAAAATTACCATAAACAAATTAAAAAAAGAAAAAGGAACAATAATCAACTAAATGGACTAAGATACTGTGTCGGTTAGCAGAGGACCAAATCCAGATGCCCTGTAACTGGCAGTTGACCACGCATAGCCAACCAATACCTTGGCTTGGGAAGAGTCCCGTAAAATTAAGGTAAGTTCAAGGTTGTTGCCTTGTTGCCTCCATACCCCATTTCTCCAGCCCCAGCCGTTACTAGGACCCAGCACCTATTGTCCCCTGACCAAGTGGCTAGGTTGGAGTCCTGAGATATAGCCCCATAAACGGTAGTTGTAAACCTCCAGAGTGTATAGATGGTGCTCCAGTGTAGAAACATTGGTAACTTCTGGCCCAGGTAGGTGGTTGCTAAACAAGGCTCCACCTAGGAGAACCTACTTGACATGGCCTTCCTTACAGAAAGTGATTTGGTTCTGTAGTCATTGAGCGGTTTCCAAAATCTGGCGCATAGGTGTAATATTCCTAGGTTTTATTGATTATTCAGAAACGCAACTGCAGATATAACTAAGGTTTTCAAATAAGTCCTATTAAAGAATATAATAAGTTGGTGGATTGAATATAAAATCCATGAAAGTGTAATAAAAAGTAAATTTAAGTTTTACTGTGTAAAAGATTAGCAAGTAAAGTAATATATAGAGTGATGGTAGTTGTAGCCCCCTTCAAATAAGGTGACAGAGGATTTGTGGTTATACTGCGAAATGTGAAAGTAATTGTAGACCCCTCTAATTAAGGTGGAGGTGCTGGAGTATCTGAGTAGTCAGTTTGATAACAGAAATATTGAAAGGGAAGTTTTGGAATAGCAACTAATTCAATTCAGTAAACAGAGGCACAATCAGGTCATTATGTGAAATGTACATACAAAAAATAAAATAAAAGATAATCATTGTAGAGGTGGAGTGGTGCCGGTGATGATATGCAGACCCGCAAGAGACCTCTGAGATATCAGGGGTGTGGTAAATAGGAATTGACAATAGGTCATTGAATGCTGACAGAATGCTGTTTTTCCGCTGTCTCCCCTGCCATTAACCACGCTGAAGAATAAGTTGTGGCCATCTTCTAACAGCCACGCAGGCACAGGCCCTCACCCAGAATCAGGTGGGAAAGAAAAGCTTCCTTGGTAGGGACTACCACGGTTTGTACAGGGCTCTAGAGATATACAAATTAGGCCCAGGCTGACCCTGGGTGCACACAGTGGCTAATGTGGCTAGTCAAGTTTGCTGGTAAGTCTAGAAATGGCACTTGTAAAAAAAGATGCCCAGAGAACTCTACACACAAGCAGGTATCAGCATAGGCCAATACAAGACATAAAAAGGTAAGCTAAACATCTTTAGACAAAAATGCAGAGGAACTGCTGCAAACTGCATCGGTCTGGCATCAGGGCAGTGGCGGATCCAGGGGGGGGCAACGGGGCAATTGCCCTCCCCCGAGAAATCCGCCGGTCTCCCTCTCCCCTGCCAGCACATGCAGGTGCTAGCCCTGCAATGTGCCTGCGGACCGGAGGGGAGATCAGAGATCTCCCTCCCCGGTCCGCAGGCACTGTGCTGACAGCCGGCAGCGGAGGGAGAGGGAGGACCCGGAGCTCAGGCTGCGGCTCCTCCGGGTCCTCCTCTCGCGAGATTTGGAGCCGGCAACGCTCCAAATCTCGCGAGAGTGAACTCTAGCCCTGGAGCGCGGGCTAGAGCTCACTCTCCCCACTGGACCACCAGGGATTCCCCCACCGGACCACCAGGGATCGAAATATGTCCCCCCTCCTCCCCAGTAAAGGTAAGATGGGAGGGGGGACATAGGATATTTATATTAAAAATTCAAATAAAAAAAATATATTTAAAAAAAAAGCCCCCCTACCCTTATCACACTCACACACACTTTACACACATACACTGATCCTCATACTGCCCCCCCATACACACATTGCCCCCATACTGCCCCCCCATTCACCCATACCATACCCATACTGCCCCCATACACCCATACTGCCCCCATACACCCATACTGCCCCCCATACACACACTGCCCCATACTGCCCCCATACACACACATTGCCCCCATACACCCATACTGCCCCCCCCACACCCATATGCCCCCCATACACACACTGCCCCCCATACACATACATTGCCCCCCATACACACCTATACTGCCCCCCATACACCCATACTGCCCCCCCCATACACCCATACTGCCCCCATAGACCCATACTGCCCCAATACACACACATTGCCCCCCCATACACACACACATTGCCCCATACACACACACTGCCCCCCCCATACACACACCTGCCCCCATACACACACACACTGCCCCTATACACACACACTGCCCCCCCCCTATACACACACTCTACACACATACACTACCACACACACACTGTCCCCCATACACACACGCTGCCCTGCCCCCATACACACACTGCCCACACATACACACACACTACCCCCATACACACTGCCCCCCATGCACACACTGCCCCCCATACACACACTCTACACACTTACACTACCCGATACACACACACTGCCGCCCCATACACACACATACACTGCAATACTCACACACACTTCAACTGTTACACACACATACTGTCCCACACATACACTGCCGCCCTCACACACACACACTGCGCACACACTGTCCCCCTCACACACACACACACTGCACCACTCACACACACCACTTCTCCTATGCCTTACTACTGCCCCATTTCCCAGCAGACCTCAGGTAAGTTGTCAAACTGTTCTTAAACGGTTTGACTACTTACTCTGGGAGGGGGTCCCGGCACTATTGACACCATAACCACTACACTGAGCTGTAGTGGTTATTGTGTCTGGATTATTTATTTAAATAATCTACAAGTGCCCCTCCCGAGATCAGGCTCTGGATCCGCCACTGCATCAGGGTAAGGCAAAAAAATAAATTTCCAGGCACTCTAGTGTTAAAGCCACCGGCAGATTTTAATGGAACAGAAAGAGCAGCAACGTTTCGACCTTCACAGAGGTCTTTTTCAAGCTAACACCACAAACCAAACATCAGTGCATATGTAGCAAGAAATGCCAGAAGAAATCAAACAATAATTCACTTAAGTGAAAGTCATTAACACAAATTAATAACACAAAATAATACAAATCATGCACAGTATATCCATAGATCTACTGTATACAATAATCTATAACTTACCTCTATGTGCCAAAGGAGGGAGAGACCAAAGTAGAAAAAAAGTTGAAAAAATCTAAATAAAAATAAAAAAGCTACAGTGAATAGACGCTTGTCTGAGCGCTAAAAAGTCATTTCCGGTTAGTTGAACCGCAGAAGGGCTTCTGGAACGTAAAGGGACCGCCCCTTCTACGGATCCATGTAGGTGCCAAACCAAATATCAGTTTGTGTGTCCAAACACAAGAACAAGGGAACGCTAAAACACACGAACGGCACCCCATGTAACTAGCGCACATGCGCACGAACGAACTATAGATGAAAATGCCGAATGGCACTAAATTAATTTGCGCACATGCGCACAAGCAAGTGATGTAATCTCAGGACAAAATGAATGTAAATCTAGGTAATAAGCCAGCTTATTGTAAGCATGTATCAATCATGCAAAGTAGTACTAGATCAAGGAAACTGTAGATGAAGATGGTAGAGTAAGCAAAAATAGAGACTAGAGAAAATGAATATAAAAATAATATATAAAATATAAAGATTAAAAATTAAAGAGAAAGATATAGAAAAATAAAAATAAAGCATAAAACATAAAAACTTAAAAATTGAAAAAATAATAGAAAATCAAAAATGAAAAATAGTGATAAATAATAAGGATATAGAGTGCCTGGAAATATCTTTTTTTTGCCTTGACGTATTGGAATTTCTGGTCCTGTTCCGGAGCACCGGTGGCTGCTGGGATTGAGTTAGGTTCCTACAATCATCTTTGTAATGGCATCAGGGTAAGGTCAAATTTGCTATATATTGTTATTTTAATCAGAACTTCCAGAGTTTTACATTAATAAGACCAGGAAAAAATAAATATACAGTGCTATTCAATAAAATGTTAATTTCCAGGAATTCAAAGTGAATTCAAATTTAATTTTAAGTTTTTTTGTGAAAATATTGAAACAAAAAACACCTAAATTTGTGATTTTTTAAAAAATTTTTTTTGGCAATTTTGGCAAAATTTTAATCCACAATGAAGTCCTCAAAATTCATTCAATTTGTAATATTCCTCTACCTTAGACAGGGGTATAAACTGACCGGTTCCTGGGGAGTGGGGCGAGGGGCAGGGTTGTGGGGGTACCCGGTTGTATCTGGACTCCCCCTCTCTGTACAGGTTTCTGACCTACCCTAAGACAGATCGTACGTATACGAATCACCATTCCATAACATGTCTTTTAACCCCTTACTGCAACAAACAGGACTTCATGCAGACGGAACCGGCGTTTGCACGCAGAGCTGGAAGCCTTAGGCCTGGGGGAGCAAATCCAGTCAAGTGGCCCATTGCACCAAGAGGAGAGTAAAAACACCTTTCCCATGTGATTGAAAGGGGGGGAGGGGCAGGCACCTAAACAGACACTCAATGACAGGCACACACACACTTGCTGATTTGGCACACACTAAAAAACACACACTCAATGACAGGCACACAGACACACACAGAAAGACACACTGTTACAGGCATACTGACTCAGACAGACAGACATACTGACACACACAGACAAACTGGCACACACACACACACACAGACATACTGACACACACAGACAGACATACTGATACACCCACATACAACCAAACTTTACACTTTTAAAACCAGTAGACAGGGGCTGAGTAAGGGGACAGGGCTGTAGTAGGGGGTTAGGGGCTGCAATGGAGAGTATAAGCTGTAATTGGGGGTTTAGGAAATGTAGTGGGGAGGGGATAGGGGCTGAAGGAGGTTGATGGTTACAATTTGGGAAAGGGGCTGTGGTGTGGGTGATATGGGTTGCATTTGGGGGAGAGGAGCAGTAGTGGGGATGTTATGGGGCTGTGGTGGGGGGCATGGGGCTGAGGAAGGGGGCAGGAGCTGAGAGGGGGGAAAGGAGCAGGGAAGGGGTGGGTCAGGGGCTGAGAGGTGGGACAGGGGCTGAGAAGGGGATTGGGGTTGAAGAAGGGGACAGGACTGAGGAAAGGGGAAGGGGGACAGGGTTGAGCAAAGGGGCAGGGCTGAGCAAGGGGGACATGGGCTGAGGAAAGGGACATGGGCTGAGCAACGGGACATGGGCTGAGCAAAGGGACATGGGCTGAGCAAAATAGGACAGGGGCCGGGCAAAAGAGGACAGGGGTGGCGGAATGGGCACAGGTGCTGAGGAACGGGGACAGGGGCTGAGGAAGGGGACAGGGCTGAAGAAAGGGGCAGGGGCTGAGGAAGGGGGACAGGGGCTGAGGAAGGGGCAGGGGTTGAGGAAGGGGACAAGGGCTGAGGAGGGGACAGGGCTGAGTAAGGGGACAAGGGCTGAGGAGGGGACAAGGGCTGAGGAGGGGACAAGGGCTGAGGAGGGGACAAGGGCTGAGGAGGGGACAGGGCTGAGTAAGGGGACGAGGGCTGAGGAGGGGACAAGGGCTGAGGAGGGGACAAGGGCTGAGGAGGGGACAAGGCTGAGGAGGTGGGAGAGGGGCTGAGGTAGGAGAATAAAAAAAAAACTAAACTGCATGTCCTCCTCCCTGAGTCTTACCTTAGGCCAGGGAGGGGTGGGCAGCGGCCAGCAGGAGCAGCAACCAGCATACAGTGGCAGCAGTCAGTGAAGTCTGCCTCTCCTGATGATGTCAGGAGGCGGGGGCGTGACTTCCTCTGCTCTTCTCCCAGACTGAACCAAAGTGAGCTTAGTACAATCTGGATATAACGTCCAGACTCTACTAATCAAATGAGTGGAGCGCTAAAGGTATAAACTTACCCTAAATTAGGGTTACATCTCAGATGTATATCAGTACATATAAAGGAAACAAAAAATAAAACACAATATAGTGTAAATCCACAGGTGGTAATGTATTTTGGTGATAATTCAAGTAGTCAAACTCACATTGATCAGAGCCTCAAAAGGGACAGGCTCAAATCACTTGCACAGTAGTGTCGTATGGAGACACTGCACCCTTTTGCCTGGAATGGATTTCCTCAAAGGAGAGAGAAAGGGAGACTTCCTAGTGTATTACGTTTTAACCAAAATAAAAAAAACACAGTGGTTATGGTTGTGCTCACCTTTTCCTGAGCCAATGAGAACCTGGCTCTGGATGATAGACCTGGGTACCTCTAGAGGGGGGCACCTGCCCTTCTTTAGCAGCAAGATGAAGTTAGAAGCTGATGGGAATTGATCAGAGCCTTAAAGGGACAGGCTCAAATCACTTGCACAGTAGTGTCATATGGAGACACTGCACCCTTTTGCCTGGAATGGATTTCCTCAAAGGAGAGAGAAAGGGAGACTTCCTAGTGTATTAAGTTTCAACCAAAATAAAAAACACAGTGGTTATGGTTGTGCTCACCTTTTCCTGAGCCAATGAGAACCTGGCTCTGGATGATAGACCTGGGTACCTCAAGAGGGGGGCACCTGCCCTTCTTTAGCAGCAAGATGAAGATAGAAGCTGGTGGGCCTTGGTTTAAAATACATACATTTATTGCAACTTTAGATATAAAAACAAAAACATAGAATTAAATAAAAATGTCCAGTTGCTTCTATATAAAATAAAAAGTGTCCCAGTAATTAGCTCCAGTCCCGAGACGCGTTTCACCCACACTATGGGGGCTTTTTCAATCGGTATCCTCATTGTCTTCACGCTGCTTTTTAAATATGCCGGTTTCTTCATCCAGTGGGCGGTCCTCCCATCCCATCCTCCAATCCGGATTTAGCTTATTGTGAGGTCAATTTCCTCACCTTCCTTTCATCAGGGTGATCAGGATCACGTCTGCTCTTGTGAAGCACTGTTCGCGATTGTGAAGCACTATTCGCCAGTGTTCTTGGAACAGGGACTCTCCCTGGGGACATAGAAGATAGAGTAGGGGGATGCTTTTGCACACGCGTAGGTGCCCCGAGATCCAAATGATAACAGCAGGCGATTCCCTAGTAAAAGGATACTTACAGTGGTCGCACAGATTCAGGGCGGAAAGCCTATTAAACAACCAGTGGTAACACAGTCTCACACTACCAGCTATAACAAACCAACAAGTTACTAGCAATAACCCGTACACAATAGCAAAGCTGTGACTAGATCTCCCCCACTAGATCATAGTTCTGCTGTTCAATGCAAAACTTGCTCAGCACTGAAACACTGTCTGCCACAAATACGTAGAAATGTAAAACCAGGAAGTTGTTTGTTACTACGTTCTGCTGTGACCCCATGTCAAAACTGCATTCAATTTTCTCTCCTTCTTTATCTTGTACCTCTACTTAAAAATGAGAATAAAGATTGTCAAAAAAAAAATAAAAACACTTATTGCCTATTAACCATATGAAGGGTATGCTATCTGTGGAAATTCTATCTAGCTCCTCAGCCCTTGACTAACAACGATATACTTCCACATCAATACCAGTCGAAGGATAAGCTGACCTTGCCAAACAAAAGTTGAGATACAATTATAGTGTACTGTAAAGTGTTATTTCAAAAAGGGGAATGCCTACTTACAGTTATGCTGAGTTGATGGAAGTCACTGATGTACCCTCACACTCAACTTATGTCTGTTTCATTATATTTTGTACTACGCTGCGTGATATATAAGCACTGTGAAGTAGTTTGAAGTGTTATATAC